TCGTGGAGAAAATTTCCAGCCCTACCCATAGTCTTCCTTGAGCCTCATGGTCTATTAAGCGCCCATATCCACCCCTAAGCGGAAGTATTAGCCTTTAGCATGATCACCAAATATAGCCCAGACGAGCCGAAACCGGCTGGGAAATGGCCGTTAATTGCCTGAAAGCGGAGCTTAACTGTCAAACGTGCCTGGGGCTAGTATTGCTTCATCGAGCGCTGACAGCGGATTGGCGCGAGGTTTGGCAGCCCTCATTTCAGTTTCATGAGCTTCGCAAGAGCCTCATCCGATGTCATTATGGTCATGCCTTGGTGTAGGCGCCTACGTACATTTGCCGTCATCTTCGGCGACCGAAAAGAAACTACCCGACGTGTTCTCCTTGCCCGCCTGAACTGTCATCATGCCAGGTAGTTACCGCTCGTGTAATTGCGACTCCACCGACTCGGTCCACCACTTCTTCCAGTCGACCACCTGGCGCTTCGTTCGAGCGTCTTCGGCCGCGAAGACCATGGCATGGCTCCGGAACGCTTCTTCAAGGTCGCATCCGAGGTACTTCCGCTGAGCGTCTGACGCGGGCATGGCGCCAGAGTCTACAGCGTTAACCGCCATGAGGAATTGTCGCGCAAGCCCCTCGTCTCCGCCCCCGTGACCGCCGCCTGCGAGATGAGGGCTGTGAGTTTTGGTCTGCCCAGTTGAGAAGTTGTGTACTTTGATGTTGGTGCTGTCGTACTCAATTTCGCCCTTCGTGCCGTAGATGCGACCCCGCCGTTCGCACTGCTTCTCTGTGAATGCGACCATGTGGAACTGCGCAGTCTTTGCGCCCCGGCCATGCAGCATGGGAGTGCCATTATCGTCCTTTCCGACTGGATCATCGTCCCAAGTAATAGTCACCATCTGGTCATCACAGACATCATTGTCCGACTCCCAGACGCATCGCCCAAACCATGGTCGTCGTTCAACTTCACCAATCGGTGTCTCATTGCTATAGTCTTCAGCCAGGTCTTTGAGAAGCTGTTTTCCAGCTGCCTCTTTACCGGAAGTCTTGTAGATGTCTTCGATTTCAGGGTTCACAATCTTAACTGGCCAGTCTGCGTTGCCGTTGTTTAGGTGCCTTTCAAGATAGATCTTCTTTGCACTGTAGTCACAGTCTGGCTCGTATGCGCAGGAAAGACAGTTTGTGGCCGAGCCTGCTGCTTTCGGTTTGCGCTCTTTACGGAAAAATGTGCGAGACCCCGTAGATGTGATATATGAGGGTAGATGAGGTGTCGCATTCTCGGCATTCGGGCCAGGTGAGCAGAGCATCCACATGAGGAAGTCGATGTCATGGCAGGACTTTGTGAGAAGAGATGGCGCAGTCTTGGATTCCTTCCTCCAGTTACCCCTGCGTTCGTTAGCATCGAAGTTCAATGGAAACAGAGAAGAATCCTATACCTGACGTAAGAATGACTGAAATGCCACCAACCAACAGGTTCAACATGCTCAATACTCAACACATCACCAATGACATCCTTCTCCAGTACCAAATGTCTCAGCAACATGTTGTGCGGCGAGTACCTCAACACATGGCAAATACCGAAGATTGTCTCTTTGGCCTCACCCCTACCGACCGGTGCCTTGAGTGCCCTATACATCTTCATGCAGCTCTCCAGTCTCGTACTCATTGGTTTCTCGCACGATATGTGCACTCCCATACCCGCAAGACCACAGACGACTTCTTCATGCATCTCATCGAGCACGCATACGAACACTGCATTGATGCCTTTCTCCACATCACGTCCAGCTCTTTCTTCTTCTCTCCTCTTCATCTCGTACTCTTTCCATTCCTTCCAACCGCGGAATGCTTGGTGACCCTTAGCTTTACTCCCATCACCCCAGATGAACTTGCGACCAAACTCGGCGCGCTTGTAGTCATTTGGCTCGCATACTGCTGCGATGATGGAGTTTGTTGAAGATTGCGCAGCTTCCGCGTAGGCTGTGCCGCGACTTCCTGCGCCGATGATGAGGACGTGGGGCGGATTCGTGAAGGTCTGCTTTCCTACGGCCTGAAGGAAGGCGCTCTCGTCTGTCTCAAGGCTTGGCATGTTGCTTATATTGGGTTGAAGCTTGGATTGCAATAAGGAAGGGACGGCTTAGAGCAATACTAGCGATTGCTACAGTACATAAGCTGGTCGCTATGACTGTTGTTGCTCGAAATCTTGATGCAAATTGGGGAGCCTGATGAAAGACAGCTTTGTGCTAGAATCGATTCAACAGTGCTCGTACTTTTGTGCCTGCTAGTCTTGGTCTACCCGTTGTGAATGGGCGCGTTTTGGGCGATCCCAAAGGCCCAAGGATGAGCAGATATGTGTTGCGATTCCCTTTCCAGGTGACCGGTCAACACAGATGAGGGGTGTGTGGTGTTAAACTACGAGCGTAGCATCAGTGTCGTTGCATTGCAGGCTGGGCAGCCTGACCATTGGTGGTTATCGTCGGGGAAGGAGGGCCACGTGGGGTCTGACCAATGATATCATCGCTGATAAAGCCACGAGACAGAGGTAGCATCCACGACGCATGGCCAACGTGAGTGGTTTAGGGAAGTGCGCATAGATATGAGTATAGGGAAAAGATGATTAAAGTTACAGCTTGCGTCGATTACATTATGTAACACGTTCTTCATTCGTGTCTCGCTTTCATAGCGAGTGATATCTGATCCAGGCTTTTCTGCTGCATCACCACTACTGGTATCGCTCCAAACTGCAGTGCCGCATGCCTGTCGTTCCTTTATACATTAGCCAACCAGACCTGGCTCAGACTTTGTTCAGCTCGTAAAATAGTAAATACACATCCTTCTGCATGTTCAAGACCTCGGATGTCTTACTCTCCTTGATCTTGTCGTCGCTTATACGCCACCACCTATTGCTTGTCTTCTTCGATTTGCGTCGTAAGGGATTCGACTCTTTTATCGATGAGGCCTTCTCCGATGCGCGCTCTTTCAGCGATCGCACGCTCCTCGTACGTGATAAGGATTCGCTGCCGGTGCCTGTTCCGGTGGAAGAGGATGCCATTTGTAGTGGATCAGACTCTGACATGCGCGGTGCAGAAGTTGGTGCTGGCCCTCTTGAGGACGCAGGCATGGTCTCTTGTGAGGACAGCGACCGTGTTGAGGGGGAGTTTAGTGTGGGTGTCGATGGGACTGGTGACCCACGGTCGATGGTGTTGGGAAGATTAAGTGCTGATATACGCGGGCTTTGTACAGCTGAAGGAGCTACCGATGGTGCTGCTGACGGGTATGGGCTGGCCTGCCGGCTGTATGCGCCTTCAGTACCGAGTGTTGCATTCGTGGAGAACGGAAGAGGCTGGACTTGACGACGGAAGGATTCGTAGTGACCGCTATTGTGGCTGCCCTTGTGTGTGACCATTCCTAGAAGACGGTAGTTCTTCCGGTGTAGTATTCCACCCAGTGGTAGAGCTTCGGGAAAGGCAACCTTGGCGAGATTCTTCGTCGAGGCAGCGCCAATGGCGAACGTTGATCGCGACAAATGTATCGCAAGAACCTTGGGAAATTGCGAAATGTACATGTGGCGCGCTATGCGACGCTTGGGTGCCTGGCTCGAGTCCGGAAGCTCAACGCCCTCAGGCGGGTTCTCGGGATCGTCCTCTAATGCTTGTCGGATCTTCGCGATGTCTGATTGTAGCAGAGCCTGTGCATCCGAATCGGCGGCTCGCGAGAGCTGGTGGTCTTTGCTCCTCAGCGCATGTTCCAGCCGACAGCGCTCGCACTTGAAGTCGTCTATGTATTCAACCTTGAGCATTCCGTCGAGACAGGCGTTGAGGGAGGTGGAGGAGGCTTGAGGTACGTTGAGTGTCAGGGTGACAAAGGTCGATACGGAAGGCTTCGGCTTGAAGTGACATGTCTGGCACTCAATCTGCGACTCAATCTTGCCTTCGAACGGGAAGCCCTCCTCATCCGCGGGTACTTCATCGTCCTCCGGCTCTTCCTCTATGCCATGGCTACTAGAACCCTCAGGGGGTGCTGCGCCGAACTGACGTTCAATGTCCCTCCTTTCCGATGCGCCGTCTTCGGTTGTGATAGTAACGCCGGCCCGTGTAGCCTGTCGCCTGGCCTTTCCGCCGGCGTGGTACTCGTCGCATAGGCGCTCGGTGACGATCTGGAGGAATTCTTGCGCGTCCTGTTGTTGCCGGCTAATGCGGGTACCGAATGCATGCTCGAGTGATCGGATGAAGGGTTGGGGAGATATAGTCTTCTTGTATATGGGTCGCTCGTTCAGCCGGTCGAGAATTTCCTTGAGTCCATGGGTGAGGATGCCTCGCTGCAGACCCTCTAGCTTTGCGGGCCTCGCGGTCCCTGTCTCGGCGTTGAGTCTTTCAGGGTCCACATCATAAACTTCGGGACCGTCGAGCATGCGCCTATACGTCTCTCTTATGAGATATATGCGCAAGTCTGGCAAGCCGGCGAGCGCCTGCAGCACCGAATTGATGAAGCAGTCATTCGCGGCATTGCTGAGGCCGACTACGCCCTTCTTCTTGCCGCTGGCTGCATTCGCGTCGTCGTCGAGGAAATACGTCGGGCCAAAGACGTAGACGAGGGTAATGGCGGCGAGGGAGGCTCCTGCGGCGTAGGTTGCAATTGTGAGGGGCTTCTCAGGCATCTTGCGGCGCTTGTCACTTCCGCTACCGCGGGATTGGATGGGGAAACTGGGGTCGTGTAGGGTGTCGCGAACGCTGTGCTCGGTCGTGCTAAGGTTGTACGGCGAAGATGCTATGGGAATGGCGTAGGGTGTGTCTGACTGCTGCAGAAGCCATGGTCCGACTGCTGGCCAGCTTGGGATATTGCGCTGGCCGTCATCTGTCGTTTGCTTGTGAGGCGGGCGCAAAGTATGCCGAGCCTACGGCAAGTAGCACCGGCCACTCGCACCTTCCGCCCTCCGCCGCAAGGATCTCCACATCTGGTGGACGTCGTGCATTTTTCTTGAGATTAATCCAATCTCACAACGACACGCACAATGGCTTCGCTGAGGACGTCCACGCTGCTCCCGCAGTGCACGTCATGCATCAGGAGGGTGACGCGGCAGAATTTGGACGTCTGGGGGTCCCAGCAGGCTCGCAGCATCTCCAAGAAGGCGAAGGAGGCAGAGCGCAACATTATCGTGAAGCTGCTGAAGGATGTGCCAAGATTTGGTCGCGCAGGTACGATGCAGCTACTGCAGGAGTTTGACATGTGCGCTCTGGCAAGCCACTGAAGCTGTCAAACTGACTACAAACATCACCAGTCAATATGGCTAATACGTCCAAGGCTCATATGTCCCCCTCAACCCGTCTCTCATGCGCAACCGATGGTTCCCCGCACGCGTCGCCGACTATGTACCCGCTACCCAGATGAAGCAGCTCAAGGCGCAGGATGTCGACATGGCCCGTGACTTCACATATGGCGTACGACTGAATCTGGAGGAGGCCGAAGAAGAGGAGGACGACTTCGCGAAGCAGCCAAAGCACTACGTGCGGCCGATTGAGATCAACGTGCTCAGCGTATGTTTATATCGAACCGCCATTTCTACGCATACTAACAAAGACAGCCTGAACGATCTATGGAACTCCTCGACGCCTTCGTACCACCCACGATCGACTTCTACCGCCAACGGATCGAGCAAGAGAGCCAGTCCAGAGACCGCATGGGTGCGTCTGGTGCGGCAGATATCCTGACCGCAGCCGCGATGGGCAAGAAGGCAAATGTAGACGCCATCTACGGATCCGTCTCGACTGCAGATCTGGTTGCAACCATAAGGGGAGCGCTCGCCCACAACGACGAGGCGGCTCGCGTGATACTGAATGAGGCGGACGTCAAGTTCCTCTCAGGGCATGAGGAGGGCGACACATCGCGTGTGAAGCAGCTGGGCACATTCAAGGTGGAGATACGGTTACCTGGCGTAGAGGAGCCTATGGTGAGGAACATCCGAGTCAGAGCGAAGACATCGGAATCATGAGGCTGCATCAGCCGGCTGTTACGAGCCCCAGACCCCAACCTCGGACATCTGGAGGCCCAGACCACACCTTCCGAGGATTCCTCCGCCTCGCTGTAAAGATATACCTGTGCCATCCATGTCACGTAGAATTCCGCATATCGGAACAATCAGACAACGCCTCAATCACGATCACGATATCGCGCATGTGTACAATCCAGCATCATCAGAGTGACTTCATTGGTGGGACCTGGCGTATGCGTGGACGGAGCTGAGTAACATGGAAGAAGTGGCTGGCTCGGTAATTCGAGGCGTAAAGCGACAGCGTTTTGCGGCGAGACTCGGGCAACATGTCACCTCTGTGGACTGCGATGATGCTTCACCGAGCTAATGTGAAAAAGACAGCCCACTTTACTTCCGCGCTGCCGAGCGAAAGCGGCCCCGCCATGACTTCAGAGCGCGGCCGTGAAGCATCATCGTGTATCAGACCAGGCGCATGTCACTGCGCACTGCCATCACCCACGGTTGGGAGTGTGGTGATTCAGCGCAGCGCCATCACGGTGTGAAAAGAATTTGACAAACCAAAGGTCATGGTATCAGATATAGCGTATCGGGACTTTTGTGGGGTGATGTTTGCTTTTACTCGAGCGCGGGTAGGTCGACTTTGGTGAGGGAAGCTGGCGCGACGCTGCGCGCTGCGTCACTGCTGCGGTCATTACAGTAGCGGGGTGGTTTTTGTGGTCCGGTAACCCCACTACCATGTTTGAACTTTAACTAGATAGCTCTCAACATTGCGCAAACTTCTCTCTCCATACCACACTCTCCTACAATTTCAGACACTGAATTGTACTCTCCATTGAACACTCAAACACATACCCGATACATACCCGATACAACAACCAACATGGCTTCTAAGGTCCTTAACGGCAAGTAAGTTACATCGACCCCGCTCGCATGATCGCGACCTGAAGCTAACATCTCCCCCTCTAGGACCGGTGTCATCTACGGTGAGGATGTCTACAACCTCTTCAAGCACGCCCAGGCCGAGGGCTACGCTATCCCCGCCATCAACGTCACCTCCTCCTCGACCGTTGTCGCTTCTCTCGAGGCCGCCCGCGACTCGAAGTCCCCCATCATCCTGCAGATGAGCCAGGGTGGTGCCGCATACTTCGCCGGAAAGGGCGTCGACAACAAGGACCAGAATGCTTCCATCCAGGGTGCCATCGCTGGTGCCCACTACATCCGCGCCATTGCGCCCGCATACGGCATCCCAGTCGTTCTTCACACCGACCACTGCGCCAAGAAGCTTCTGCCATGGTTGGACGGCATGCTCGATGAGGATGAGAAGTTCTTCAAGGCCAACGGTAAGTTTTGACTGTACGAAGTACATCGAGACAACTACTAATTTGGCATCTCTGCAGGCGTCCCCCTCTTCAGCTCCCACATGATCGATCTCTCGGAGGAGAGCAAGGAGGAGAACATCGCGACTACCAAGAAGTACTTGGAACGTGCTGCTCCCATGAAGCAATTCCTCGAGATGGAAATCGGCATCACTGGTGGTGAGGAGGACGGTGTAAACAACGAGGACGTCGACAACAACAGCTTGTACACCCAGTATGTCACTTTCCTCTACAAATCCCACTAAAGAGCTGTATTAACTCTTTTCTAGGCCAGAGGACATCTACGACATCTATAAGACGTAAGTTTTGACTGTTCAAAGTCAATGTGAGACACATACTGACTTCGTACGTAGTCTGTCGGAAGTCTCCAAATACTTCTCGATTGCTGCCGGCTTCGGAAACGTACACGGTGTCTACAAGCCCGGAAACGTCAAGCTCCGCCCTGAGCTCCTCCAGAAGCACCAGCAGTTCGTCAAGGAGAAGACCAACGCCAAGGATGACAAGCCCGTCTTCCTCGTTTTCCACGGTGGCAGTGGCAGCTCCGTCGACGACTTCCGTCAGGCTATCTCATACGGTGTCGTCAAGGTCAACCTCGACACCGATATGCAATGGGCTTACCTCTCCGGTGTCCGCGACTACGTCCTCAACAAGAAGGACTACCTGCTAACACAGGTTGGTAACCCAGATGGCGAAGACAAGCCCAACAAAGTAAGCAGCCACCCCCTTTGCTCTGAAGTCTGCAGCTAGATACTAACATCTTCTAGAAATGTAAGTCCTGACTGTACGAAGCGCATGTGAGACGTATACTAACTTTGTACGCCAATCGACTACGACCCACGCGTTTGGGTAAGTTCTGACTCTACGACGTGCACATGAGGCATATACTGACTTTGCGCAGGTGAGATCCGGAGAAGTTACAATGAGCGCCCGCTTGAAGACGGCTCTCTCGGACTTTTACACCGCCGGCAAGGCCTAAGAGGCTTCCCAACAAACGACGCGAAGATGATTTCGGTCCCGGGGAAACGGCGTTGGTGGATGGGTATGATAGGACGGCAGTGGCATGGACGAGGTCTAGAGGTGGTACGATCATGGAGTTGAGGACAGAAAAGTCGCATGCCTGGACATAGAAGTTTATGAACGTTACGAAAGCCTCCTCGAGAGAATAAGATTTCAGTATCCCCATACTTGGCCTCCTTGGTGCAATTTTCTCCCCTTTCATGTTCCGCCTCGAGATGGTCTATTAGCGAAGAGCGCAAGTACACAGTGGACATGTTTAATATGGCATGCTGAAGTATACAATGCCGAGAGTTGAGAGTGGCTGAAGTGGGATGCTCGAAATCCTTACTCCGGTCGCTAGTCATGGGGCTGCAAGGTGGCTCTGGTCGTGTTCTGTAGTCTGAATGAATGAACACACGTTGTCAACTAATGTACCTCAAGTGCTCGAATACACAACATTTTACCGCTCGGCGTATCGGTGTGGTTGGCAGGTTGGCATGACCGACTCGAAAATGACGGCGGAGACCGACATGTTACCTCTAGACATTGTCATTCAACTGTATGTGCAAAGGTTTTGCTGCCCGTATTCGTTTCGATGCATTCATCTATGACATGCGCTTACGTTAACCTAGGAAAAAGCTAAACAGGTCTGCAGCCTACATAAACATATAAACCTGCAAAGTAGGTGCCCTAATGTCAATGTAGTCTCCAGATCCGTTCAGGTGTTTTCCTTGTATGAGGTGCCCTCGTAGCCATGCAGCCCACCGCAACGTGCCGGATGTCATGCTCGACGCGTGGGAACCCCAATGCGGCTTAGTTCATCCCTGCGGGCAGCGCGTCCTTGAAATCCCGAGCATGACATCACATCGTCGAGCCTATGTCGCAATGCGCTTTCCCAAACTACGCGCAAACGATGCACATCATGGCAAACCCAGAAGCAGGTTGCGTGGCAGCTACTGCCCGCGTCGAGTATTTATCTCGGCACCCCTCCTGGCTTCTTGTCCACGATTACTCTCAACACACACCTTGATACACCAACCTATACGCGTCTCTCCACAACTACACAAGCTTCTCAACTGCTATCCATAATACACCTAATACCCACATATCCAACATGACTCTCGGCGACTCTATCCGCAAGGGCGTGGGCATGGTTCACGTAAGTTGGCTCTATCACTGCGATGCATGCGCCTAGCTCAACATCGTCGCTTTACTCCAATCTCTCGACTTACCTCGACATCGAACTCATGCTAATAAGACCCAGGGAACTGGCGAGGCCATCCGAGGCAATGCCATGTCCATGGTCGACGAAGCGAGCGGCGATAAAGCGAGCGCAACCAAGAACCAGGAGATTGCCAACAAGGGAGTCGACGAGTGGGATCGAGGCTACCGAGGCCACCCTGCCGACGCCGGTGTTACTCCTGCTGACGCCGATGCCCACCGCGAACGCATGAACACGACCGGCACCACGGCCACAAACTACGGCTCGCACAACTCCAACATTGGCAACAAGGTCGACCCCAGGTACGACTCTGACCTCGACCACAGAGGTACGGCGATCGACTCTACAAACGCTGGACCGCATTCCACAAACGTTGGCAACAAGATGGACCCGCGCTTCGACTCGGACGTAGACCACCGCGCTGATCCTACATCCAAAGTTGGCGGTACGGGCTACGAGACGCGTAGATAGACGATACACTGAGCACTTCAACATCAATATACCCTTTTCCTCGTACCTACCGATTCTCTTCGATTTGTTCTCGCTGACGTCGCAGCTCATGCTCGCTCAATACTTCATACAGCGCAGAAAGACGGCACGGGTGAGATTGAGTATTCCAAATGACTACGTTTACTACACGAATTCCTTTTTTCAGCACCTTGCCCAAATCAATGCTGATGCTGTATAGCCGAGAAAGACTTTGCCGAATGGCAGCCATCGCAAGGCTTTGATGACGCCTGGCACCCGCCACACGAATCCCAGCATGACCCAAACCCTCCACACGAACATCGCGGTTCAATCGGCGGCTCATCCGGATTAGAGGCTGCGAACAAGCTCGATCCCGTATTCACCGTCGGATCGGACGAAGAATCGATGAAGTACACGGATCACCCCAACATTCACCGCCTCCGCGGCTCGATAAGCGGCGCTTCAGGTCTCGAGGCTGCCCAGAAGCTTGACCCACCTGAGCAGGCGACACCCTATATGCCAGACGAAGTATCGGCTCGTGGCCCCGGCTACAGCCAGCCCGAACCTTCCTATCACCAACCGAAACCTACGCATCAAAGCAGCGTCTTGAACATGCTTGATGAGGACGTCGAACCAGACCCATACCCTCCTCCGAACCGCGCTACTACAGAGCCTGCGCCGCGGTACGATGACGGCTCTGACAACTCAGCAGAGTCGGGAAGGTACTCGCCCGACTCAGACGACGAACTCCACCGCATATCTCGCCGCCGAAGCCGTAAGTTCACTCTCCGCAGGCTGTCGCATGTTTTCGTTGAAGGTGGCTCGCCACACGTCTTTCGCAAAGGTGCTCAGCGCGCAGCAGTCTCGGCGTGCGCTTATGCTAACAGACTGTGATCTTCAGACGCAAGAGTGGACCCACCCAGTTCTACGAGAGGCGAGCCGAGATCGACTACAAATCCTCATAAGAGTGATCTTATGAATAGGTTGGACCCTAGAATTGATCGCGCTGCGGTTAAGAGGTCGAAGAAGAGTGACTGTCTTTGAGAGAGCGTGGCTGCTAAGTACTAGTGGGGCTGTGACGGATTCCAGTATGTCGAGCTCAGTCGTGATGCTGTAAAGACACAAATGGCACAATGCATTTCTAGTTTACTGTCCCTTTATCTATGTCGAACGAAGAAGCTGGAGACATTACGATCACCAACCATTGACGTTTACGAGCAATTACGAGGAATGACCATGGTGATGATCAGCATCATCGACTCGATACTGGTACTTCATGATACTACATATCTGCAAGACTGACACATGTCTTTTTTTCTGAGATTTTCTAGTTGTACTCGGTACACTCTACAGCTATACACCACACCGCAGGGTGCTTTCAGCTCGACCGAATGCTGAACAGAACAACATGCAACAGGAATGTCTTGGCTTTTGTCCTGCTTTTCGTAGTATGTGCTAAGCTTATGCGTTGAGGCACAGCCATGACAAGTATTCTGAGGCATTTTGATACTCTTCGGGATGTGAAGCGATAGAAAGTGATATCATTTGCACTCGGTATCTTTTATACGAGGGAGGACAAAGCCCAGGAACACATAGCATGGAATGTTTCGGTTTTTGGAGGCACACATAGGTTCTCATCCGACTGTTTTCGATTGAAGTGGAGATTTGTATTGATTTGTTTGGTCGAGCAAGTGCGGTGATGGAGGAAGAGGAAGCAGAAGCATGATAATCTATGGCTTTTGTTTGAACGAGGGACACTCTCATACATCGCGTGACGACATCTTTTGGTGGTTCTCCATCATAAAGCATGAACATTGACTCTTAGTGTTCAGACTTTCGCGGAGACAAGAGACCAGATCATAATACTCTGGATGGGGGATTTTGAGTCGAAGTCGAACAACATGATTCTCTGATGCGTTTCCTTTCGGTTCTGGACTGCGTGGCTATGCAGTGAGGGATTTTGAATACCACGCTTGCTTTTGGAGGAAAGAGCGGGAAGACAGACATTGGTTCGACATATCAATGTTTCTGGTTGCGCAGTCTAGAGACAGCAGGAACATGTCTAGATATCTCAGGAATTTTGGTACAAAAACACCACATGGAACTTCGAGCGTATCGTTTTGGTGAAACACCGACGAGGTGTATGTCGATGAAGGAAGGAGCGAGGATGTGGAAGTGGTTGTTTTTATACACGAGAGAAGCGACGGTCATGTTCTTTTTCCACGGACAGTTTCGTTATTTTTGGGAAAGAAGGACAAAGAACAGCGCAGACATGGGATCCACCCCCTCTGGTTTTAACAGCCGCAGGTCGTGAAATCGAAGTCATGGAGGGGTTGCCCGGGTCTCTCTGGTGGACCGACATAAGGAAAGTCTGCAGGTGTTTTGGACTTTGAGTCTTTTTGGTAGAGTGGAGAAGCGAAGCATAGAAGTCGGACATAAACCTTTTTTGGTTTTGTGTCGGGGCGAGCGGAGAAGAGAGCCACATAGCATGTTGATATCGGTGTTTTGAAACATCAGACATGCGTTCGCATCTTCATCTTTTTGAAGAAACGAAGGAAAGTTTTGGTAGTGATGCGAGAATGAACGGGTCGTGGAACGCAAGCCTTTTATACCCGCTTACCTAGTGCCAAACTTCTACACATTCCGATTACGGTGAGCGCGCCCGTGTCGAGAGGCAATGACATTGTCTTCCGCTCTCACATTTGATTAGGATATAGATCGTACCGTTTAGTGTATCTATCACAATAGCTACAAGTAGAACATTGATCGACTAGAACGTATTTCGTAGTCCCCAAAAGTCTCCACTCATCATCACACCGAGTTTATTGGCAGCAGCGCTAGACACGACAGCGGTCGCAGAGGCAGTTTCAGATGCATTTTTAGATGCAGTATCAGTGGCAGTGGCAGACGTGGTAGCGGAAACAGCTTCTTGGCTTTCCTCAGCTTTGAAAATGTTGAGTAGCCCAGATCCTCCGCACATCGTGTTCTCATCGCCAGTGCATGGCTTATCGCAGCTCGTTTGATCACTCGCCCAGCTCCCGCCAACGTAGCTGCCGCACCGACATTCATTGCCGTTCTGTACGCCGGCGAAGCTAAAGGCGCCACGATAGCAGATGTCGTCGCACTTGGCTTTTCGTCCATGTTTCTTCTTATTGCGATACTTCCCAGGGGCTCGTCAGCGGGCTCGTCGGCAAGCTCGCCAACGGCGGGCTATCGCAATATCATGGAGCCTTGGGTCCATACAGATCAGCAATCTCCCATTCTCCATCAGGGCCTCGGAAAACTCGTTCGGGATTCTCAGGGTCGATGTAGTATACGTTTTCCTCTCCGCAAGGCCAAAGGTGTTCTTCTGTAGCATTAATGCAACAGCCGAGTCCATCGAGAGGCACGATCCAAATCTCCTTCGCGTTGACAAAGTCTTGGACGTCTACAACTTCCCCGTAGTAGAACCACTCTGCCTGCATTTCGCGTGCGAACTTGAGGTAGCGGATGGACTTGGCGACTTTTTCGTATCTTTCAAAGAAAGACTGTCCAATATCGATGGTGTCGATTTCAAGATTAGCCCATATGTATCTACGGTGCGCATCGCCACTTAGCATGCATCATTTCGGCTCGATAGAAATAGTCACTTACTGCGCTCCGTACCTAGGCACAGCTATTTCAGAGAAACATTTCTTATACAGTCCGTGATTTCGAGCTTCTTGGCATGCTTGGAGGACAGCGGGTATGGGCGTGGACGTCGTTAGAGGCAGTTGTCGTGTCTTGCGGTCGTACTGAACTTCAGTGTTGACCACGCGGGGTTCAACAGTCATCTCCCATATCTGCATCCGCAGCTCGTAGGGCAGACGAGGGAAGGGGTGGAAGGTTGCCATGCGCCTGTAAAGATTTGCGGTTGGCGATATTGGACCACACTTGGATACCTTGGTCTGTATGAGTTCTTTATGGGGAAATCGGCTTGATAAAGGTTGTCGTGATAAAGGGCGAAAGGGCGCATATATGTTGCTGCGCCAGTGTGGCGCAGTCAATCCTGCCCTTGCCGGAACAAGCGAGGGCGCATCAAAGAGGCTAGGCACCTTACCCGGAAGTGGGAGAGCAGGAGCCGCGGTTGCAACATCCCTTCCACACCTCACAACTTTCACAACCCAAACTATCCAGTATGAAACAATGGCTCAGTCAAAAGGCGAGCGCCGGTGATAGGGAATACCAAGACTGCACCAAGATCCTCTCAGATTACCTCTGCAGCAGCACAGAAACCTCAGCCGCATCAACCGCATCAGCAATCGTGACCTCCGTGCAAGCCTCATCAAAACCCGCAGACACCGGCTTCGAAGTCACAAACCTCTTACTGGACACAGTCGCCCAATTCCCCTCCTCACACTCCCCCATCATTACCCTCCTCCCCGCTATTCGCGCCATACCACCAACCCCAAACCCAGTTTACTACCACCTCGAATCCATGCACCGGGAAAACTATGACGGAATCTCCGGACTACGATATCTCTGGAAGACGAAGGATAAGGAAGCGTCAGTTACACCAGGTGATAGGTGGGTTAATTACAACATCTTCACCGTCAGACTGGCCACCTCTGGATACAATGATGGCTACTTCATGTTCGGCTTCTTCTGTCTGAGGGAAACGCTTGAGACGAAGAAAGAATCGAGAGAGGCGGAATTCGAGAAACACATTCGCCCTAGTTTCCTCGAACGTTCCGCAATCGACGCCAATGAACTTCTTAACTACGACCTCACCGCCGCTGCAAGATGGGTCATCATAGGCGGACGCGATATGTATCGCTTGAACAACTCGATATTTGGAGACGATATGCAGAGAGGGATAGCGGTGCACACGGACCTTTGGGATGGAAACCCGGGTTTTTCGTTGGGAAGATGGAGGGAGTGGTGGAGGAGTTTTAAGTATTTTGCGCAAGAATCGTACGTAAAGGAGGAGGTGAGGGTGTTGTGTAGAGAGGCGGATCAGGCGATTGCGGATGCTATCTTTGCGAATGTGGATTGATGGATTTGTGGAAATTCCGAAGCAAGCAAAATGATGGGGTTCATCGTAAGAGCTCTGTGTATATGCGATGATGTCGCTCGATGACAGTATATTATACTTGCGATCTCTCTCATTCGTGAGAGTGTCGCTCGATGATGTGGGTGTCAGTCATAGAAGCAGGGGCGCCCCGATTTCGACTGTGATTTGATGCATGAATTTGGTTAAGTACACGAGGGTTAATGAAGCTTGTAGACTTCCAACAAACGAATAGAATTCACGAGAAAACAGGGCCTCCGCCTACCTGCGGCAACGATTGGCTGAAGGCGAGGTTCTCGGGCGGCGGGCGCCAAGCCCGGAGACGACCTCGGAAGCCATGAATGAAAAGTGATTTGATGCATCCTCGTAACTACGGTGTCTATTTTGAACTGTTCGACGCTCAAGCTTCGTCAATGGATGTGTATAAGCCAAAGTCGAGAAAGAAAACTCATGCTGAGTTTCTTTGCTTTTTTTAGAACGTCTCCCCACACAGCAGTCATAGCAGAGAACTCTTCCAGTTTTAGTCTTTCCATAACAGAAGACCTGGTACCTTTTGGTAAACTGCCAGAGGTAGTGAGTGATGAAGAAGAAGGAAGAGCGAACGATCTCGAGACCTTTATACCTGCCCTCGCCGTTGACTAGCCTCTTTCTGGCGACCAAAGTCGAGGCATGGGTGGTAAGAAGAGCGAGCAGCACTCTCATGTCGCGCATAGCGATATATTTCTCCAACATGAAAACACCCCAGTTGCATTTTGGTATATCCACAGAAATCGTAAACTGCATAAAGCAGACGCAGCACACATCGGTATCTCCGCTTCCGCTTTCAGACATGCATGGTCCATGAAGACGTTTCTGTTCATGCAATGGATGAGACCGTGCTTTTGCCGAAGACATGGGAACTTAGACGGGTTGTTTTAGTCCGCCGACGCCCATGTAGTCTGCAAAGAGGTTTTTCGAAAAAGCTGGATCATAAGGCAGGAGCGTGTAGCATTTTCTGGGAAAGGAAGAAAGACAGACATAGAAATATTTCATGCCGGTTTCGACACTGGAAGCACATGCCGTACTGCTCAACTATCTTTGGGTTTCCAGGAAAGGCGAGAGAGCACCATGTTCAATCGTCTTTTGTTTTTTGGTAAAGGAGGAGACGCGGGAAGCATCTGACATGTCAAGCCACTTTTTAGTCTCCGCTTCTCAGAGATGTGCGAGGAGAAGAGAAGAAGACGAGTCATTGAAATATTCGGGGTGTGGTTTCGGCCAGGCGAGCACATAGGTCCAGCGTCGTGCCGTTTTGAAAGCTCCAGGCAGAGTTGGAGAACACCATACTCTTGCTGGGCGAACGATTTTCTTTCTGATCGAGAAGAGAAGGCCGCAAACATTAAGAAGGCGGTTTTATGTTTTGGTGATTGACCTTGGGAATGTTGTAGAGGAGAAGAGAGACCGCACAGCCATAGGAATAATTGCAGGGGTGTTCTGGCAGACGGAGCACACATGCATAGGTAGGATGATTCTTTTGGAGTATCGAGAGAAGGCAGGCAAGACACCATCCGTACGTACGATGCACGTTTTGAGAAGACAGGAGGCGAGAGAGACATTTTAGTCTTCTCTAGAGCTTTTTGTGTGGGTATTTTGGAGAGGAGGAAGAGACAGAGCGCCCATAAGATGGTGGATGCATGCTTTTTGGTCACCCATGGTCTGGAAATGGTGGCGCTTTGAAAAAACACCGAATGATGTGATATGAGGAAGAAGCAAGTGGACAGCATGGAAGAGCCTTTCATATGCATATAACCAAGCCAGCCACTGCAGTTCACGTGAGTCTCCAAGTCCGCGCACCGTCCGCGCTTCTACCGCGGAGGTCCCCGGAACCGTTTGCAGCACACACAACACCAAACACACATCGCACACATGTTCAAGACCACACTTGATGCATCATGAAGTATCATCTCATTCCCGAGCTATCATAGCACCATCTATACCCAGCAAAAAAAACGCCACATATGCATTCATAAACCCCACCCTATTTGGGTAAATAAAACAGATTCCATCGACCAGCAAGTGTTGAAGCCAAGCCAAGGTGATGTAAATGTAAAGACGCCAGAACACCCACGCTGGGGGTGCTTGTTGAAGAAAGAGGCCTATCCGATAGAGCCCCGCACCTTTGATGCAAAGAGGTAAAAAGAAAGGCCCGTGAAAGAAGGTCGAACCGGCCGTGAGGGTGAGGGGATTAGGTCGGGTTCGGCGCAGCAGCACCCGTGATATCGCTGTCCTCGCCCTCGACAGGGGCGCATGTGCAGAAGAGGTTTGTGTCGCCGTATGCTATCGTATCGTTAGTCCACGTTCTCATCCTCATAATCAGTCAAAGGGTATAAACTTACCATCATCCAACCTCGCAACACTAGGCCAGAACTTCTTCGCCTTCAGATAGCTGAGGGGATACGCCGCCTTCTCCCTTGAATAACTCCTCTGCCACTCTCCAGTAATAAGATCCTGTTGGGTATGCGGACTCATCTTAAGTACATTACCCTCTTTCGGCTGCACGCCCTCTTCAACCTCCTTAATCTCCTTGCGAATGCTAATGAGCGCGTCGCAGAAACGGTCCAACTCGGCTTTGCTCTCCGACTCCGTAGGCTCGATCATAAGAGTGTTGGCGACAGGCCAGCTCATAGTGGGGGCGTGGAAACCATAATCTTGGAGGCGCTTGGCGATATCAATAGCTTCGACACCAGCGGTTTCCTTGAAGCCGCGGACGTCGAGGATGAATTCGTGGGCGCAGCGGCCTTCGTCGTTGGTGTAGAGGATGGGGTAGTGCGGCTTCAAGCGGGAGAGGATGTAGTTTGCGTTTAGGAGGGTGATCTTTGTGGCTTGAGTGAGGCCAACGGCGCCCATCATCTTGATGTAGGCCCAGCTGATGGGCAGGATGCTGGCGCTACCCCAGGGTGCACCGCTGACGGGGTGGATAGCTTGGGCGCCACCGGTTTCGCCGCGGAGATGGCCGGGGAGGAAGGGCGAGAGGTGTTCTTTTACTCCGATGGGACCTACACCGGGGCCGCCGCCACCGTGGGGAATACAGAAGGTCTTGTGGAGGTTAAGATGGCAGACGTCGGCACCGATCTCGCCGGGAGAGCAGAGACCGATTTGTGCGTTCATGTTGGCACCGTCCATGTAGACTTGGCCGCCGTGCTGGTGGATCAGGTCGCAAGCCTCCTTGACGCTGGGCTCGAAGACACCGAATGTGCTGGGGTAGGTGACCATGAAGGCACCGAGCTCTTCGCTGTGCTTCTCGCACTTGGCCTTCAAGTCGGCCATGTCCAGGTTACCGGTCGCTTGGTCGCACTTGATGGGCACAACACGCATGCCGCACATGGCAGCACTAGCAGGGTTGGTTCCGTGAGCCGAGACAGGAATCAAGCAGATGTCGCGCTTCTTGCCGGGTTGCTGCTCGAGGTACTTGCGGATAACGCGAAGACCAGTGAACTCACCCTGAGCACCAGAGTTGGGCTGTAGCGAGACCGAATGGAACCCGGTAATGTCGGCCAAATCGTCTTCCAGCTGCTTGATCATGTCGGAGTATCCGGTGGCGCGGTCAAGTGGCAAGAAGGGATGTAAGTTGGAAACGGTGTCGAACGAGACGGGTGCCATCTCTGCGGTGGAGTTGAGCTTCATCGTGCAGGATCCAAGAGGAATCATCGAGTGAACTAGAGACAGATCCTTCGAAGACAGATGGTTGATGTAGCGAAGAAGCTCAGTCTCGGAGTGGTGCGAGTTGAAGACTGGGTGGGTCATGAATTCGCTCGTCCTCTTGAACGGCTCAGGAACCTCAATGTCGACGGATTCAGCAAAAGACCAGTCGTTCCGAGTTCCATTGAATACGTTCAGTACTTTATTGATCGTGTTTGCACCGGTGGTTTCATCGACGGAGATGCCGACGTGATGGGCGTCGATCCTTCGCACAAATATTTCGTTCTTCGCGAGTGCGGAGATGATGGCGTCGGTCTTGTCGCCAGTCTCGACAACGACTGTGTCGAACAAGACAGGTGCGTTGTCCATCTTTCCGCGCTGACCAGTCTTGTAGCCATTGGCGATGAGCGCCTGTTGGATCGTGCGAGCCTTTGCAACGACCTGCTTGGCGATAGCAGTCAAGCCATTTGGTCCATGGTACACAGCGTACATGGCACTCATGTTTGCCAACAGTGCCTGTGCCGTGCAGATGTTGCTAGTAGCCTTCTCACGACGGATGTGTTGCTCTCGGGTCTGCAGCGCGAGTCGCGCCGCAGGGTTTCCCAACCTGTCCTTCGACAAACCGATCAGACGACCCGGAATCTTGCGCTTGTACTTCTCGTCGCAGGCGAAGAAGGCCGCGTGTGGTCCACCGTAGCCCAGAGGCACACCGAATCGTTGGGCGTTTCCGAAGGCGATGTCGGCACCGAACTCTCCCGGTGGAGTAAGCAGTGTGAGGGCGAGGAGATCGGTCGCAACGCTGAAAAGCGCACCAGTCTTGTGCACCTTGTCAGCGAGACCGCGGAAGTCGTTGACAGCTCCGTCAGTGTCGGGGTACTGAGCGAGCACACCGACGAGATCCTGGCCTAGCTCCTCCACCCTCTTGCTGTTGTCCTTGAGCACATCCGCGACCTCAATCTTGATGCCGAAGCCCTCGGCGCGCGAGTACAGAACAGCGAGAGTCTGGGGGTGACACCTCTCAGATACGAGGAAAGTCTTGTTCTTGCTCTTCTGCTTGGACAGAGGCATCATGCCCATAGACATGGTCATGGCCTCGGCCGCCGCAGTAGGCTCATCCAGCACCGACGCATTTGCAATGCTCAGGCCAGTCAGATCGGACACCATAGTCTGGAAGTTCAGCAGCGACTCCAGACGTCCCTGGCTGATCTCAGGCTGGTATGGGGTATAGCTAGTGTACCAAGCGGGGTTCTCGAGGACATTCCTCTTGATGACCTCCGGAACTTTGGTGCCATAGTATCCCTGTCCGATCAGACTCTGGCCCGGCTTGTTCTGGCTCATAATCTGCTTCGCGGTGTTGAGGAAGACCGACTCCGGTACGCCGTGGGCCTGCCACTCCTCCACAGACAGCCCCTCGGACATGCTGCCAATCTTCAACTCGCGCGCCGACAGAATATCAGCGGGTATAACCTGGCGAACGAATTCGTCTAGACTGGCGACGGGCGGATCCAGGGCCTTGAGCATGGCTTCCGCACTCTCGGCAGACGGCCCAATGTGACGGCGGGGAAACGTGTCGAGCGCATCGAAGGGTCTCGCCGAGTCGGTCTGCTGGGGCGGGGTGTCGAATACATCGTCTGCGGCTTCGACGGCTGCGGCCGCCTGTTGTGCATTTGGCGCCTGCTGCTGGAACCCGCGCTTTTGGAGAGTTTGCAGGGTTTGGTATGCGATGGCGCGCGACGACGTGCCCGCGAGCTGGGGACGCGGTAGCTGGGCGACACACGACGATCGTGTGAGCCGGCTAGCAGTGCTAGCTGCCCTAATACACGCTGCGCGCATGTTGGCTGTGTGGTTGCAGTGGTGCTACGGGGAGTCTCCCCAGGAAGCAAATATTTTTTAACAGAGAGATTAGCGGTCTGTTGAGCGAGTCCTGTGCGAGCAATTGGCCCGATTGCTCAAAAGTCTGGGAGGCTCGCCACTGCAGTGGTGGTGACGTTGGCGGGGGAAACACCCACAACCCAGGGAAATGTAAAGTGAGAATTTGCAAGGAAAGGAAGAACTTGGATCGCGAAACCTCGAGACGCTCAAATTGACAGCGGTGACAGCGCGCCTTCATTCATTGCTATCTACACTCTAACCCGTCATTATCCGCGCCGTTGGTGATAAGCTGACCCTGGCCAAGCTAGCCGACGCGTGCCACTAAACCCCAAGCCGACTGTCCTTGCATCCACACGCATTCCTAGCACTCATTGGGCAAAACTACGCTGACCACCGCTGCATTCTATTACTTGATATCCACATAACCCGCATCTCAGTCCTCTCCGCGTGTTCTGGGCACGGTTCAACCACACTAGATGCTCGCCCGTCGCGGTGCCATTGTCCGTCGGAGATTCTTTTCTTTCTCCGTCTCTTCGGTCACGGGCAGGATTCCTTGCTCGCGGAGCTGCGCTAGGTACTCTTTGCCTGTGCATCGCATTAGCAAAACATTTTCAAAGTCAAAGATTGCGTCTTCACTTACCGTATTTGTACCCCACCTCGTAGATCTCTTCGAATTTCGCAAAGTCAAGCGTGCCATACGGATCGATTGGCGGCCGCATGTACCTGCATCCCGGCGTATTCTTCGCCCGCTCCAGCGCATCGATACTAGACACATATGCGAGGCGCGACTGGATCTCCGATAACGTCGGGGGGTTGGGGAAGCTAGAGAATGGATTCCACCGATTGAACGTCGCCCAGAAACCACTCAATGAGTCACCGAAAGACTGCGGCGCGTTATCGTCGAGACTGCCTACGTCGACCGCGAAGATGACGTCTGCACCGAGACTCTTCATATGCGTGACAGTAAGGTTGTCGATATAGCCACCATCCAAGAGCATGCTGCCGTTGTCACATAGAGGAGGAAGTAATCCCGCAAGCGACATCGATGCGCGGACATAGCGCCAGACGTATCCACTGGTATGGATTTCTGAACGCGACTTGCTGATGTTGGTGGTGTTGCAGTAGAATTCGAGCCAGAAATCTTCCATCTGGGAGTTTCCGAAGGTCTTGAAAATACCGCGATTGAACTCATGGCCGGTGGTATACGAAGCACTGTGGAAAGTCAGCGTTGAAGTCTGTGTGAACATGTAAAACTTACGAAGGGTAGGTGAGGTCAAGTGCAAATCTCCACATGCTACCCATGCGACCGGCGAACTTCTTTGCGCGACCATACATGGGAACAACGTCTGCATCCCAAGCATACAGTGCACCTATGAAACTACCAATAGATGTGCCGCCAACGATATCGATTGGAATGCCAGCTTCTTCCAGTGCGCGGATGATACCGATTTGCGATATACCACGAGCACCGCCACCGCCCAATACGAGACCGACTGAGCGACCGCACAGACGTCGTGCGAGGCGATGGAAGTCACCCTTGAAGGGCGTGTCTGCCGAGTAGAGCGGCGTCTGGCGGACCTTTCTTGATGTGTACTTCTGGATCTCAGCCTGAATGACTTGCACTCGTTGTTTGAGCGCATTTCCAAAGCGTCGTCCGGCGTGATGAACTGGCTCCGAGGTTGCTCGGAATGACATTTGGATATGGTGATGACTGCCATTGATCCAAGGGCGATTGCGCAGCCACTTCCGCGTCAGACCTGACGGACAGTATCTCTCAGAATGCAAAAGCACTAGCTCTTTGCGTGCAGTCGTTTTCGTTGTCAAGAGGAACCGTTCGTACTCTCCAATATTCGGAGACGACTCAGCTAGACCAACGAGGAGAATGCAATCGGCCTGGTTGATGCATGTCTGCGTCCACGGCGATTTTACTGGCGTGTCAGCGACATAGATAACCATGCCATATCTTTCCTCCAAATCAGCGAGGTATTGCGAGAGCTTGAGTTTGCCCATGCGGCTGAAGGCATGTCGTCCAAGATGGTTGAGAATGGCGGCCTGGTTGAGCGACACCACACCTTGCGGCATGCCAATCTGAGTCAGTGCGTTCACCAAGCGACTTCCGAAATCCACTACCGGAATCCCAGCAGTCACCGGCAGGACAGCGACAGTGCGCAGATTGACTGTTGAGGACACATTTGCGCGAGTTGCCTTCGTTCCACGCTCTTTACTCTGTTCGTGAAGTGGGTCATCAACCAAAGCTCGCATGCGGGACGCGATGATTTTTGAGATCTTGATCGTGATACCAGGATGTTCCAATGCTAGGCTGTTAAATAGCGTCTTCGGAAACTTCGCAAGCTCGGTATCTCTGATGGCATGCAGTGAGCCCGGTCGTGATGATTCTGTGAGCACTTCGAGTTCACCCACGCTGTCACCTTGACCGTATTCACCAATGACCTTTACCGCGCTGTTTTCGGCGTCGCGGATGGCGCGCAATCTTCCGTTCAAGACGATGTAAATAGCATCGCTCTCATCACCTTGGTTGTAGATCACCTGCCCCGCATTTACTTGAACCCATTCCAAAGCGAAGTCGATATGCTGGATCAGCCGTGGTAGAAGTGTTGTAAGGCGTTTCGCGATTGTGAGCAATACCACCGGGTACCGTTCGACGATCCGCTCAATGGCTGAGCGAGGCAGAAAACCTACGTAGACATCGGTCTTGGCTGTGACATCGACGAAAGATCGGTTCGATGATACTGCTCCAAGATAGCCAGCTAGTCCGCCAGGCTTGGTCATGAATAGACTCCGTCTTGTGCGCTTCTTCTTGGTACCATCGGCAGCAGTTCGCGAAGGGGTGCTTGATCCAGGCGGGCGGGATGATGGGCCAAAGAGGTCATCTTCAGTGTAGCCTGGCCCATTAGGAAGGGTTCCTAGTACGTTGGATTCAGGTGCGTCTTCCTCCACAGGCACGCTCACGTCCAAGAACCCATCGATCACGTAGTACAGACCAGGATTTCTCTCTCCCTGTTCCACCAGCACAGAGTCTTTGGGGAAGAAGACGATTTCCACATCATTGACGATCTCTTCCAGAATGTTGTGTGGGCCGGCAGCGCTCATACTGGACATGCCAGAGGCTGATGCTATAGACTCGGTGTCTCCGTCCTTGGAGCCTGCATATGGGTCCATGAAGCCAAATGCATTCGTGAACACAGCCTTCTGTCTCCTGGCGTCGAAAGAAACAAGCTGAGGTGATTGTTCCACTGACGCGGTTGGCTTAGGCATGGGGTTCTCTGGGTTGATGAGTCCGATAGCCTTGAACATGCATCCCAGTATAGACTCCCTGAACACAGTGGCTTCATCAATAGATTCTTGCCGGTGCAGTGTTTTTGGGCGCAGCGACGGAGATGCGAAAGGGTTGAAATTGCTGGCGTCCAATGGTGTACGATTGTCTCGCCGTTCTTGCTGATGTTGGTATGGTTGTGAGAAGCTGCTGCGGCCACTCCGACCAGTTCCCCGTGCCATTTGCGAATTGGTCAACAGGTCACCTGCGCTGATTCGGTCGTTGCGTGGTCCTTGATCTGGGGAAGTAATTTTGGGTAATGTTTCGTTATTAGCGTTCGCGTTGGCCCCACGAGCGGCGGCAAGGCGGGCTTGCGCAGCAGTTCCTCTCCTAAGGGATACGCTGGACCTTCGTCGTCGGCCGGCGCCGGGGTTGTGCAACGCGATGCCCTTCATGCCCTCGTCTGAGCCAATGCGCTCGGTTTCCTTCGCAAATTTCTCCTTCAGTCGCTCGAGCGGAGCATCACGCAGAAAGCCAGGAAGATCGTATGTAGTATACTTATTCATGAGCTTCTCCGTGCGGAGGACCTCATTCGTCAAACTGAGATAAGCATGGCTGGTTGCGAGCGTAACTCTTTGAAGGCGCGTAAGGATGACCTGAACAATGTGCGCCGTTGCTTTGGGGTATATGCGCGTCAGTCGACGAAATGCAGTGGCTGGGATTATAGCGATGGTTGTGTCTACGGTCGCACGCGCGACAATGTCTGGGTGGGCAGATTTAGGCTTCGCAGGGCGCGAAGGTGATCCTCGAGTTTTGCTGTGCTTGAGTCGCTCATCACCAAGTCCGTCTAGATCCAGCGACAGAGGCGGCACGGCTTGAAGGCGCCCGCCTGCTGTTGGACTGTTCAGAGTTGATGTTCTTCGATGCCCGAACTTGGCCTCAGGGACTTGGTTTGGTGTGTGCGGTCTTGAATCGTCGAACGCAAAGCTACTGTTCCGTGACATAGATGGCCTCACGTCCTGCTGAGGCGATCCTGGGAAACTTGGACGCGTGTCCTCATCTTCGTCATGACGCAGCTTCACATCTTCTGTGAACAGAGAGAGAATGGAGAACAACGAAGACATTGGGGCTCCGTTCTTGACTTCAGTAAGAAGTTGATAGCCCTGCCGGTGGCCCTGGTTCGCGCCGTCGCCGGATGACTCCCCTCCCATATCGTCCTCATCGGAGTCCGAATCATTTCGGTTCGACTTGACAAAGATCTGGACCAAGCCATCTACTACCAGACAAAAGCCTTTCTCTTCTTCCAAGAGAATTGTCTCGCCAGCCACCAACCGACGGGTCTGCATAGTGCGTGTTAGTTCATGGAAGACTGGGCGCTCCAAGTAACCGAACACTTTGATTGCGCTCAAGAATTCATCCAAGTAGTTGGACAAGCCGCGCTTGGAGTCATTTTCGGCGCTGTCGGGAAAGACTTCGACCTGTGGTTCTTCACGCTGCGGTTCAGGTGGTAGTCGTGCGTACATAGTCATGTATCGGTACCTCACGAAGTAACTGACGGTAGACACGACAAAGACGACGACGAGCATCCTACAAATGTTTAGCTAAGATACGTGTAGGGGATTGACAACGTACAGAGTTGTGAAGTTCATGGTGAAGGTCAGGCTCATAGAGAAGAGCGTGAACAGCCATGTCGGCAGGGTATAGGTAATCCAGTACAAGACGGTGGGCAGGACACTGAAGATGGACAGAATGACACGGCCCAATAGACCAAAGCTGGTCGACGGCGTGGTGTCAGCGGGCTTCATGCCGAGTACAGAGTTGGAGAGGGCCTCTGCTGTGTTATACACTGCTGCTTTGGACGCCTCTGCCAGTGACCGAGAAGTGGCTGTCCCCGGGACTGCCATGGTGGCCATGGTGGGCGAGGAAAGATCGGTGCCGAATTCGGACCGTCACGCGTCAATATTTCCAGACGTTTCTAGAGTTGCTAATCTAGGGCGGTAAAGACAGGAATCCCATGATGTGCCGTGCAGCGGGCACGTTGAAATCCGCGGGTATGTACTGGGGGCGCTTGCATGTGGGGTGCCACTGCCAGCTTGTGAAAGGCCGGGCCCGTGCATCGATTAGCGCGGAAGTCGCGAAACTCCACCGCGGCCTGGAGCTCTCACTCGCGCGCCGGAGCTTGTAAACATCACCCATTGCGCCACCATGCCGCCCTTCAAAGATGACCAGATCATCGTGAGTCTCACGTGCACTCGACGCTCTGCATATGCGCTAACCGCCTTAGATCATTGCGCCGGGCTCCGAGACGACAGTCGCGCAGCTGGGGCTCCCCGAGTCTTTCACGCCCGCGCGTCTTCGCGTGAGATCGCGCATGTTCCCCGCAGAGAAGGAAGGTGAATTCGAGCCCTACAAGATCCGGAGAAAGCAAGATCAGCCGACCGCGACGAATGGCGACCCCACAGACGAATCGCAGGAGGAAAAGAAGCCCACCGAGGGCGACGACGATGTAGTGTGGGAAGAAGACCGCGTTTCGGAAGAAGGCGCGATATGGCCCATTCAGCAAGGCCGCATCGTTGACTGGCCATGCTTCTTCGCCCTCATCACGCACACCTACAACTCTCTGAACCCGCCCTTCCACACTCCGATCCTCCTCATCACGCAACCAGCATGGACCCCGCGAGAGCACGAGAAGCTCACCCAATTCTTCTTCGAGAAGTTCAAGGTGCCCGCGTTCGGGCTTATGGATGCGGCATTGGCAACGACATGGGCATACGGTGTACACACAGCGACAGTGATAGACGTTGGCAAAGACAAGGCAGACATCACCGCTGTCAGCGAGTTCATCCCGCACACCCAAGGTCGCGTCATCTCACTGGAAGGGTGTGGAGGGGAGGCCTTTACCCAAGGGCTCTTGTCCAAGCTCAAGTCCAAGGGTCTCAACCGCGACATGTGTGAACAACTGAAGAGATCGCCCATCTGCGAACTTCTGCCCCCAGGAGTTCCGCTACCAGGGCCAGGAGATGCGGCTACCAAAGATGCAGCGACCAACCCTGCAGCGCTCGCATCAACGGGCGCAACCGGCCCTGGCGCAGCAGCAGCCGCCTCCATCGGAAACGTGCCACGAGGGCCTGGTATCGATACCGAGGTCGGCGAAGACGCGAGTCTCGAAGAAAGTGAAGGTGTTCTGGACGTCGCAAGCATCGTTGCTGGCGGCAAGATGTCTGAATACCTTGCTAAGAAGGAGAAGGAGAAGCAGGAAAAGGCCAATGCGAAGAAGAAGGGTGGTCCGGCCCCAGCAGCCAACAAGCCGGTCAGGTTACCCAACTCCCGGCTGGAGAAGGCTACATTTCTCTACGAAGATCACGCTCTTCTGGACACTTTGAAGAACATGAACCTCAATACCCAGGAGATGGCAGATGCGAAGGGCGCTCTGGACGAAGGACCAAACAGGAAGGGACAAGAGAACGGAGAGAACGGCGAGCCTACATCCGCAACTGAAGCGAACGGCACCAGCGAATCTGGTGCTACCGGCAAACGCACAGGATCGATAAGACGTGAGATCGAGGTTGGCACCGAGCGATTCATGGCAGATGGCGATGGTACGCTGGAGAAGATTGCAGACGCTGTGCACAGAGCCATATCGTCTATCGACGAGGTTGGCAAGCGAAGTGATCTATGGGAACAGCTCATCGTCTGCGGTAATGGTTCAAAACTACGAGGTAAGTCTTGTACCATGTTTCAGCAACCATCGTGCATCAACTGACATTTATACAGGCTTCAAGGAGTCGCTCCTTCAAACCATCCAGACTAAGTATTTGGTCTCGCCGTCCTCCGCCACCATCTTCACATCCGAGATCCCATCCAACGTGTCAACGCCCATGGGAACCGGCGCGAACACACCACAGCCCCAACTTGGCCCGCACGGCGGCTCCCAAGTCAACCCGCTCCTCCTTGCAGCGACAACTGCTCAGACACAACATATGATGCCACACGGAGGCATGCCTGGCATGGGAGGTAACACCCACTCATCGCACGGCCAAACACCCACATCAATCAAGTTCATCAAGCCGCCGGAGTACTTCCCCGAGTTCAAAGACGTTGGTTTTGATGAGTCAGCCTTCTTGGGCGCTCAGGTCGCAGCCAAGGTCATCTTCGTTGTCGATCAGGGTCAAAGTAAGGGTTACATGACCCGTCCTGATTACAACGACCAGGGTCCACAGGGTATCCACGATTACAGCCTATAATACGAGATTTTGGTACTTGGACTACGAAGTTGGCTTTGATAAGCAAGGCCTTGTGTTACTTTTGCAACGCAGCCATTTTGTGGAGTTTAGGCACGGTTTATGGATATCCCGGCGTTGCCAAAAAGGAAAGCCTGGGGTCAAGTTTGATGAAACGAAATAGGCGATTGTAGCGATAGGCTAGCGGCGCATTGCGAGATGCAACCTCCAAATCCTATTTTCATGACCACCTACCCGTCCCTTCCTTTCCTTTTTCACTCGTCAACTTTGTGGGTGTGAAACGCCCATTTCGTTTCTTCTGGTAGTTTGGCATCGGAGTACGCCGATAGCCCTGGGGGCTCCGCTCCGCTCCCCACGTGCTAGGCATTAGCGAGTGGCTAACCGGATCTAGCCGTCCCTACGCCTGGCAACTGATAAAGGTCGCCAGTGCCTCTCGATTTATATTGCTCTTGTCTTGACTGTCTTTTTGTTCGCTTTGCCAAATCTCTGACATTCACGGGTTGTGTGAAGTATAAGTTGATTCCGACAACCGCCCTGTTTACGAAATTCTACACTAGAGGCTGCATCTCGGTACCTGCTCCGATCTACTGCCGCGGCTAGAACACATCTTCACATCCACGGAATACAAACGCGAAACTTCAACTTTAAAAGGGGGGATTTTGACTGAAAGAGCATACGTACACCATCATGGCAGCCTCATCACCCATATCGAATACGGTTTACGCCGGCCCCTTCGTGCACAGCGAATCGCTCTCAACACTCGAGATCCAGGAACGCGGCGCCATCTTCGTAGACTCTGACGGCATAATCCGTTATGTCGAAAAAGACATCCAAGAAGGCGAGCTGTCCAATCTCATCCAACAGAAAGGCGACTCATGGACAGAGGCGAAAATCGTCGAGATAACCGGCACTGGCTTCTTCTTCCCCGGCTTCATAGACACCCACGTTCACGCACCCCAGCACCCCAACACAGGTCTCTTCGGCAAAACCACATTACTGGATTGGCTCCAAAAATACACATTCCCAATGGAATCCTCCTTCTCGAAACTCCCACTCGCACACCGCGTCTACCAAAACTTTGTCTCACGGACCCTATCCCACGGCACAACAACAGCCGCATATTACGCCACCATCCACGTGCCCGCCACCAACGCCCTCGCAGACATATGTCTAGCACGCGGCCAAAGAGCACTAGTAGGCCGCGTATGCATGAACAGCGATCTAAGCCCCGAGTACTACAGAGACTCAAGCACCGAAACAAGTTACGCAGATTCAAAAGCCAGTATCGACTACATCCGCTCCATCGACCCCAAAGGCGAAATTGTGAAACCAATCATCACACCCCGATTCGCGCCGAGTTGTACACCGGATTGCCTGACCGCTATGGGGAAACTGGCGAAAGAAACAGATACGCATGTCCAGACGCACATCTCGGAGAACAAGGGCGAGATCGAACTCGTTAAAGAATTATTCCCTGATAGCAAGAGCTACGCAGACGTATACGATACCCACGGCCTCTTAACAGACAAAACCATCCTAGCGCACGCCGTCCATCTCACCCCTGAAGAGCGCAAGTTAGTTCTCCAGCGCAAAAGCAAGATATCGCATTGTCCGGCATCGAATACGGCGATTACATCCGGGTGTGCGCCGATCCGCGATCTACTCGATGAAGGACACACGATCGGTCTTGGTACGGATGTCTCGGGCGGAAACTCACCGTCGGTATTAGAAAATGTGCGGCAGGCGATATGGGTGTCGCGGCATCTGTGCATTCAGACTTCGAAAGACAAAGCGAAGCTTTCAACGGAGGAAGCGCTGTTTCTTGCTACAAGGGGAGGCGCGGCGGTGGTGGGGATGCAGGATAAGGTTGGCGGGTTTGAGGTGGGGATGGAGTGGGATGCGCAGATGATTAGTTTGGGGGTTGTTGGCGAGGACGGTTGTCGGGATGGGGCGTTTGAAGAGGGGCCTGTTGATGTGTTTGGCTGGGAGAGCTGGGCGGATTTGGTGGAGAAGTGGGTGTATAGTGGGGATGATCGGAATACGGTGGCCGTTTGGGTGAAGGGGAGGTTGGTGCATAGGACGGGGAGGTTTGCTGGTGTCGAGAGGGTTGCGACGCCTTGATGTGACGTAGTTGTCAAGTTGCCCTTTGTGCTCAAAATAGACCACCCAACATCATCTTTCGTCATAAGACACAGCAAAGTCAAAATAGAAAGTGAGATGCCGGTCGCACTATAAGGCAGAGAATGGGTCCGAATGGCAGGCGGAATGTGAGTCAGCATGGGACGCGCAACATGAGACTGAACATAAGGCGGAACATCAGTCAGAATGTCAGGCAAAGTGCACGCCGAGATAAAGGGCGCAAGTACTCGTCAGCGTGGCTATGCTGTGTGATGGTGAGAATTCCGAGCACGCACTTCCAAGATCTACTTCAGCTTTCGATCAAATCAGAACTCTACGGAAGGTATATAACTCCTTCATACTAAACGTATACTGTGCCATCATCATTCTCCATCCCCCTTCAACTTCCTCCTTCTCATTTGATTCATCCCTTTTACCCAGCCAGCGGCCTAGAAACCCTTCCGTTTAGTACTCTTCCATCTCCCTGCACGATGACGAAACTCCAAATCGCCCTTTCCATGCTATGCACTTCAGTAGCCTTCGCC